ACAATACAGTAACAATTCCAAGCATACAAAACCCTTGTTGTAGAGCTAGATCAATAACTACCTCTTCAACAAGATGATTTTTTTTTTTTTAAGAAAAAGACCAGCAAACTTCCTTTGTGGCAGAAAAAGGAACCCATGCTTTTTGTTCTTGATCAGGTGGTCAGGATGGTCCCAGTTTCATCAGGGTAATTGAGATCAAGTTCCAACTCATCAGAAAATTCACAGACGTATAAACATAATTTGTTAATCACAAACCCAACATCTCTAACTCAGCTCTGAAAGTGCTCTTGACTGGTATTACCAGGCTTTCCAGAACTGCAGAGAGCACACTACAACTTGAGTGCAATATTGGCATTAGAGGGATCTATCAGCTTGAAGAGGTTGTTTCCTGTGATCTAGCATTCTGTACATCTGTGACTTTACTTGCATTTGTTCCAAAATGAATTTCATGCTTAACTTGTTTTTCTTAATTAAACTTCCTTTAACAGTTTCTAATATGTGCATTATTAAAACTCATTAGTCCCATTCATGCCTGCCTGTCATTTTTGGCTTCATATTCATGTACCAAAGAGCTCTGCTGCTTTATATAGGAAGCAAATTAAATAATAAATATGAGAACTTGAACGTTTTATGAGTGTCAGTATGAGAAAGTGGCTGCAAGGCCCATAAGGTTTCACAAAAAAAAAAGCATTACAGCTAAAGCTAACATGCTGACACATCTCTGATCTATAAAGTCTGCAGTAATGGTAGCAGTAAAGTGTTGTGCCATAGATGGGGAATTTTTCTCTCACATGAAATAGAAATAGGATATAGCACAGACTATATTTACCGTTGTAAAAAAATTTCAAATAAAATTTCCCAAAAGCTTAGAATATAACACCATTAAACGTCTACAAAGATTTACTCATTCCATCCGACTTCATGTGTAGCTCCTATTATTCAGCTCCTTGTCCTCTTTTCATTTTCTACCCCTGTTTGTGAGGAAGAGACTCGTTTCAGCTACAGCAACCAGGCTCAGTGCCCCTGTGGTCATGTCCTGGTCACGCTGACCATGACTCCAGTGACCAGAGGGTTTCCTGACCCAGCAGCTGCATCTCATGGTGACTGTTCCAGGGCCCAGATTCTCCACTAAATAAACCATTCTTGTGAAACCAGTAGAAGAAACAAAAGCCTCATCCCACAATGCCTGTTTTGCACAGGCTCGAGGATGTCAAAATATTCAGTCTATCTGTAAGGTTTCTCCTGACTAAATTGTCATTTTCTCCTCATGAATATTTCTAACACTGTGTGCCTACATAACACTTTACTGCTTTCAAGTACTGTTTTGGAAACTGGGGGACAGGGTTGGGAAGGCAAAAGTTAAGGAACAACTTTAAGTTCAGATATTGAGCCTAAAAGCTTCAGACAAAATGTAATTAAATAAAAGTACAAAATGCAACATAAATGTATTCCCCTCATTAAATTCCCAGAACCAGTTCAACAAGTGAGCTAATGGCTTCTCTAGGCAGGATGTGATTGAGGAGATTTAGAAAACATCTTTTTAAATTGCCATTTAAGTTCTCTGCTTCGTTAAAGGAATATGAGTTACTTGAAATGCAATAGTTGTAAAGTGTCCTTGACCACTTTTATGATTTCACAGTCACGTGTTGCTAATTTCCAAGCATTACATTCTCCCTTAATATGGTGCAAAAGACCTAACCAAGCATCAGCAGAAGGTAACAGGCTACCCAAAGGCAACACTAAAACTGATTATGCAGAAAATATTATGAGGACAAAACAGAAGAATTCAACAAATGGGGTAAAGAGAACTCAAATTGCTTTTCCTTTAATGGCCTCATGTTTTATTTGACCACAGCAGTGGAAAAACCATGTTACCCTGCTGTGTGCAGCCCAGATCTTTACATGGCTTGGTAACCGTGAGGATATTTACAGTACAGACTCTGTGCCCCCTGGTTTCCCACAGCTGCTGCTCCCTCACTCCACCTTTTGTTTTCTAGTGGGAAGTGCTGTGGTGGAGAGGGTGCACAGCAAAACTTAACATGGGACCAAGCAGCCAACCAGTCACTTTTCATCCCTGGAGAGCACACAAAACATCATTAATGAGCCATTAATAGTGATGGAAAGAAAGTCTGCTGTAAAACATGTGGGGTCTTCAGAGGCAGGTGGAAATGAGCAGCTGAGTCACCAAGAAGCCAAAATTATTTCCCCCTGTAATTCTGCTAGTTCAATAGTAATCCTGGGGAATGTAATGCCATTATTTGTTATTAAAAGTACAGGATGTGCTCTCAATATGCAATACATCATGAAGTTTTCCCATTAGGTGGGGTTTTTGTTTTGGTTTGGTTTTTTGCATCCCCTAGCTCCCTCTCCCTCCTTTCCATGCAAACTCTTGTGCAACACCTGGGTATCAGGGCAGGCATTCCCCTCTGAGTGCTTGTGCTCCCTCACAATGCATAGCTCAGAACCAGGGCTACAGAAATGGAGACATGCCTCGAGAACAGCCTTTATTCATCAGTCAGGACCTATTTTTTACCATTATCTATTATTTTATCACCTGTTATACTTACCATGGAGGGATATCTGGGACTAATCAGAGACTATATCATTTACTGGATCAGACTGATAACTGCTCATCCTTTATTAAAAGAATTCCACAGAGGTTTCTACTGGACCTCTAGAAAAATGTTTTATTTTCATTATTTGCTTTTAAAGAATGTCTGTCTCCTTTTGCCCGTCTTTTTCCACTATTTAATTTTTAAATAACTTCTTTCTCATGTGATTAAAAAGCCATAATAAATATGACATCAAGCAAATAATTCAGAGCTAGCCAAGGGTCTGTAATACAGCCTTATATCTCTATTACAAAGGAATGTATATTTGCTTTTAATAAAGAAAGGCAAGCCAATCCATTACAAACTGAGACCACATCTAAGCCTCTGCTTTCTTCCCTTTTCCCCAGGCTCCATTTGAACAATTAGAGTGGTTAATGCTGGCGTGCATGCCAGCGGATATTAAAAATGTAAACTGATAAAAAATACAACTACCACCATTACCATGTTCAAATTCCTCCATTCACTTGCAAATCAATTTATCTGCCTACAGCCCTGTCCCAGTCTTTAAATAACCCTCCTCAGCAGACTGCTCCACCTCCAGCCAAATAATCCAGAGAAAACCCACTTTGTGAAAGATGTTTAAGCATCAACAGCTAGGATATTATCTTCTTACCCTACTCTAGGAGCAGGTGTAAGATAACCAAAGCAGCACCAGGAGAGCAGCTCCTCTCCTGGCTCCTACACCCACTGCCTCAAACAGCCTGAACCACTCTCATGGCTTTCGCTGCTACCTCACTTAATCACAAAACAGAGGTGTTCAGCCAAATCCTGCTTCCCAGCACACTTAGCATGATTATCCTCAGCCTCATTTTTCTTCCCACAGCCTGCATACGATTCGCAGGAAAGGTACAGGATAAATGGGATCTCTTTGTAGGTACCTGAGGATCTCCTAATCATTTACTGCAAAACTGCTTTTGCAACATCACTGCAATCTGCAGGCACAGCCCAAGAAAAACGGTGCCATTTATCAAAAAGTAACTAAGAAGCAGTCTTCTTTAACCCTGCACCAGTAGTAGAGTTGGGGAGGGGGGGTGTGGAAGAAAAAATAAATAATCCTTCCCAACGACCATTCCCAAACATGGCTACGTAGCATTTGGCTCCCAATCTGCAAATCTAATTTCAAAGATGCAGAAGTGGTCGGCATATTACAGCTGCTGAGCCCACACAAGTCTCAGTGCAGTCAATGGGAATCAGGATCTTTGAAAATCAGGGCCCTGAATAATGGGCTCTATTTTTAAATGCTCATTTATACCGTGCATGGGTCTTTCTCTTGTCAGGTGCCTGTAATAAAGTACGTGCAATTTCATAAGTATCCTTTGCTTCAACTAAGCCAGACCAGAAAAGTAGGGGAAAATGTCCCAAAGCTCACAGTACTGTTCTTTCAGCAATAACAATACTCTGTGGATGCACCAAAAATGCTGCTACTGTAAAAAACAAACAAAAAAAAATACCAACCTAGGTCTTAAGGGAGCATGAAAAGGTTATTGTGAGCATTGCCAAAAATACATGGTTTCGGATGTGAATTAGCTCTGAATTAGCTCTGAATTTACCAGTACGGTCTTGTCCCACTAAGGCTCTGGGTAAATGCAAATATTGCCACAGTGGATGGCAGTGCTGGCAAAAAATAATTCCTAAAACAATTTCTTACACTTATGTCGAGAAAAAGAAAAATCTGCTTCATTTCAAATTCTCAGAACATCTAAACGTGCTAAAAACATTCACTTTGATATTTATAGCTTCTATAAGACATATTTCCATTTTATACTAGTGGATTTTAATGCCATAGTTGTTAGAGCTAAAACAAACTGGCCTTCCAGAAAGCAAACCCAGTGTCAAACTAACATGATATTCCTTCAAAAGGTCAGCAAATTTACAGAACGAAATGGCCAGTCCAGAATGTGTCACCTGCACCAGCAAGAGCGCAACACTATAATCAAGCTCTGGTTTGTTTTATTTAAACAGTTATTTGAATGTAATTGCTCTGAAACCATACGCATCGTTAAAACGATTCCAGATAACATCCTTTCTCCTGATTCCAAGGTAACTTTCTGGCTTTAATTATAAGTCAATTAATATTAAGTAATTTGACTGATTAATTTTAATTAAACCTGTTGAAAATTGATTTTCCTTTAGCGAGTAAAGATGATGCTCTAGTCGCATCCCCCCGGCCGCGGACACGCACACACCGGCCCTGGCAAGCCGGCCCTGCCGAGCGCCCCCGGGCTCAGCCCCGCGGCCGCCCTGCCCTGCCCTGCCCGCGGCCCCGCGCCCGGCCCGCTCCATCCCGGCGCTGCCTCGCTCCTCCATCCCTGCTCCCTGCTGCATCCCGGCCCGGCCGCCCCCCTCCCTCCTCTCCATCCCGCACGCCGGGAGCATCAAAGTATTTACCAGTTCACGGCCGCTTTCCCGCAATCGCAGCCGAAGCTGTAAATCCTCTGGATTCGCCTCCTCCGGCTCTCCCAGCCGCTGGGAGCGGGAGGGCTCCCAATAGTGCTCCGGACACTTCCCAATTATACCGATTTTTATATATTTTTCTGCCCTTTCCTGGGATCGGGGCGCGGGAAGGGGGGGCTGGAAATCCCCATCCGGCATCCAGCCTCATCCGTGCCGAGCCACCTCCATGTAAATCCGACCATCAGGCAGGCAATGGAAATGATCAAACGCTACTTCTCTCCGTCTGCAGGCAGATAATCCCACTAATCCAATAGATCTCCCCCGATCCGAAAGTGCCCTCCAGACGAATCCCTTTCGCTCGATGTCCGGCGGGCGATCGCGGAGCCGCCGCGGTGCCCCGAGGGGCGCGGCAGGGGCGCGGAGGGGCGCGGAGGGGTGTTAATCTTTTTTTGGCTCCTGGATGCACGGCTCGCTCAAACCGCCGAGATCCCTGCTTTTTCCCCCTATTACACGTTTCCACTCCAAATTGCTGCTGGATGAAAAATGGTACAAAGATACCCCCAGCGGCGGCGCGGCGAACAGCGCGGGCAGCCGCGGCCCCGCACCGCCCCGCACCGCCCCGGGCGGACCGGCCCCCGGGGGACCCTCCCGCAACGCCCCGGCCCCGCTGCGGGGCTGGGGGGTCCCTCCGGCGGCCGCGGGCAGCGGCACGGAGCGCACGCAGCCCCGCCAGCACCGGGGCACAAAGGGATGTGCCAGAGCAGGGTGGAGATGCTGCACACACCTGAGCGCGGGTGGGCTGCTGCCCCTTGCTAATCCCAAATTATGTAATTTATGTATGGTTTGTATAGAGAGATGGGGATTGTACTCAAATATTTCATACTGGTGTAATTTAAGATGATGCCATGGTCTTACTTAGTCGGATCATCACTGTCTGCACATATCTTAAGTGACTCTTTTTGTTTCCCCTTGCTGTTTCTTGAAATATTTTACTTATTTTTCACTGCTTTCTCTCTATTTCTAATTGAGGAATAAAAGTATTCTCCAACCCCAGCCCTCACGCTTTCTAGGATCACAGCAGACAATGAAAGTTGACGACTCAGGGGATGTGGGGAGAAAGGAAGGCCAGATCAGAAGGGAAAGGAGAATAGTCCTTTGAATGCTGATAGGTCTATTCATTTTTAAGAACAGCCACAATCACACATTAAAACATCCCAAGTTAAGCCTCTTGCAGAGAGCTCATTAACATCTCCCGTTATTTTAGGAGAGACTTCCCTTCACATTGTGTTTAAAATCTGTATTTTTCTCTGCTAACATCAACCTCGGTTTAAAATATTGACACTAACTGAGCACAGCAAACCCACTCATGTTTCCAAGCCTACAGCCCCAGGCAAGGTCTGGAGGTGCCCGAAAATTTGATAAGCTTTTGCACCCTCACCTGAGAGCACATCCCAGTGGAGGGAAGGTCAGCCCCAGCCAACCCTGGGCTATTTATGTCTCTCAGTCCCACTGAGCATCTGGATCTAAATGCCCATGGCAGGAGTGACAGGACACAGCAACAATTTATCCTGTGACATTCCCATGTACAGGAATAATTCTGTCCTGGGCACGTTTTTTGCCTGTCTCTATAACTATTACAGTCCATGGTTAATTAGGAAAGTCCAGAATCCTTCAGTACTCAGAAATATAACTCTTTTGCTGTTGCCAAAAGCGTGCAGCTCTCAGGTACAGGAGGGAAAGGCAGAACATACTCTGCTGACAGGGCAATCCCATGAACGTTATGTTAGTCTCAAGGGAATACTATACCAAAAAAAAAAAATCAAAACTATAAATGAAATTTGTGTATGAAAATCAATCATTTGCCACCAGCCACAGACCAACCAACAGCCTAAAAACTATCACCAAAGGGGCAATACCAGGTGAGATATCCTGCCACTCTTCATCCACACAAAACCCCAGAGTAGCTTTATCATTGGGTTGTTCTTTATACTGAAAAGCAAGAAATAAAGATGAAATAAAACAACAGCACTTTCCTTGCCACTAGATAAGCCACTGGAATCCAAGTGTGCAAAGTTTTATTCTCCTTCTTCCAAGCAGGATGTATTTATCTTCCATGGGTCCCCTGAGCCACCATATGAACATCTCCTTGGAATGCTCTATCATTTAAGCAGATGATCCCCTACTAACTGTGGGGGGAAATCAACCCATTTATCTCTCCACCATGCCTTTTGTGGGTGGCAGGAGCTGACAATTTACACCCAACTTGCAACAATCCCACCTTTGGCCACCAAGCCTCCATCTGGTCCTAACCCATCTTCACTCGTGCAGAAATGGCACCAAATTGTTGAGCACGTTCAGTTGTTCTTCAACTCCCTCTCACAGCAGAGATGTGTGATACCACTTCATTCACACACCACTTTTGCTCTGGCCTGGCCCCAGGGTTGGGGTCCCTTTTCAGAACTTTTCCACTGTCTTTCACTCTACTTTTCACTCTACCCGAGCTGTGCTTCAAACATTTCTCCCTCCTTCTTCCCTCCAGGGGCCTCAATAGCTCTCCTCTCATGCAAAATACAGCTGGGGAAAGAGGAATACTGACTTGTGGGAGGGAATAGGATTTGTCTCCAGCCTCAGAAAATTGTCCAAGAAGGGATACTTGGCTGGGAAAACAAAGTATAGGAAAACAAAGTATAGGGCAAATCCCTCTATACAGAGATAGGATAGCAATAGCTGAGCCTACATATGTGGTAATAATAGATTACAGTCTAATATAGTAAAATATGACATTCCTGTATCCATTCCTGTGTGATGCTTATTCAACCATCAGTTTACCACCAGGATGTCCTTGCCTGTAAGAGCTAAGTGGCTTGCACACATACTTTTATATGTGTGTGTGTATATATATATATATATATATATATAAAAGTTTGGAATGACATGATCTTTAAGGTGCTTTCCAACCCAAACCATTCTATGATATACACACATTTATCCCTACCTATAAATGTGTAAAGAGTGTTTGGATTCATTTGAAACAAGGGAAGAAGGGTCTGTAATTGATTAGAACTTTGTTAAATATATTTTAATACACTGCATGTCAAAGAATTACACTTTCATTGCAATCTAGGGAATGCAAAACTGGTTTAAAGACTGGTATTATTTAATATTTAGTTCGGCTGAGTCTTGATAGCATAGTGTTATCTGCATTTATTAAAAGATTTAAGAGAGAGCTAAATTTCCGTGGACTGAAAATCCATGGAAATTTCAAAGGCCAGCATCCTGCAATAGTCTAAAATTCCCCTCTGCTCCATTTTCTCTATTTTAGGAACATGAAACCCTTCATACAACCCTCATTGTAAGCAACTAACCTTCAAAAAGAGCAAAACATACAATCAAAAGCTAAAAAGAAGAAAGAAGTTCCCAACTAGCAATCCAAGCTAAAATGCACATTGAGATACCTAAAGTATGCACCCAAGGCTTTGAAGGTAGGCAAGTTTTTGATGCAACACGAGTTTCATGAGCTATTGAAATATGCAGCTTAAAACAGTCAAGTTTTTCTTTGAAATATAAATTTTATCAGACTGTGTTTCTCAAAAAAAATTAACCTTTCTAATAGGTGGAACAGGTGGAAGTGTTTACATTCACAAAATACTAAATATTCATTAATTTGTTTGTCTCAAGATAGCTCATTAAGTTGTGTGTTGCAATAACTTAGTTAAATATTTTCTTTGATTTCATGAAACTTAAGATTGCTCATCTCTGTGCATTTATATTCTTTAGATTGCCCGGATTGCCAGATCTTTAATGAAATTATAATGCCTGCCTATGAGCTGCTGTAGTTAGCTGTAACTGCTGAGTTATTGCCATTCTTTTGGTTGAACCTTGCCAAGAAGAGCCACTTAAAGAGGCCATCCCTCTTCACAGAGCATCTCCACAAAGATGCCCTCACATCTGCACAAAGACACAGGGCCCTGACAGTCCTTCAGGCACTCCAGACATGGTTATCATTTGCTTTCTTCTGTATTGTTCTTTTGTACTAAAACAACTGCATTTAAAAAAAAAATACAATTCTTTGTTGTATGGCAAAGGGCTCACTTGAGACCGGTCAGAGTTTCACATACCAAGAGTCAAGAAAATTAGCAGCACTAGTCTGAGTGCTCTGACTTGAGCTGCCTCTAGCCCACAGAAGTCCCCAGTACTCCCATCCCCTACAGCCTCACCACCACCTCTGCTGCCCTTTAGTGCTCAGGGACACCCCATTCACTTCCTCCCACCCACGATGGGAGCCGTGCATTTTGTCATCTGGTGGGATTTGTATTCTGACATCACACAGGTTGTCCTCGGTGACATTCACTTTTTATCATTAGCACCCTGCACTGGGATGTTTAATTGGCTATGTTGTATCTCTGCACTGTAGATTTATTTTGCATTTTCATTTAATTAACAGCCATGACCAGTGGCCTGATAGATGGCAAAGCATTCTGTGAAGTAGAATCCTACTGGATTAAAAGATTTGCTGGAATGTTTCAAACACCCATTCAGCCTGAACTTCTCAAAAGCAATTTTCTCTAAAGTACAGCATTTCCAAAACACAGTGCTGGAGGACGTGGGAAGAGGAAGAAAACAAGACCCAAGGATGACACAAACCCTGCTCCTACAGACTCACCCCTCTCCAAGTGTTGACTGGATGCTCAGATGAGCACAATCCACCCATGGTTATTCTGAGATTCAGAATTTCAGGTTCTTTTGGGTGCTGTTAAAAGACAGATATTGATAAAAAAAAAGCCATTGCCAGTGTTCTTACTGGAACTTAATCAGTAGATTACAACACATTACAACACTGTGCTTGCCAGAGAACTCTGAATTAATTATAAAATCCATTTCCTTGTTTATGTGGCTGGGAATACATTTACAGAGGAGTTTTATGACTTTGTTCCTTCCCAAATTTCAGTTATTATTTGAAGCCATAATCCACCAGTACCTTGGTTTGCAGTGACCCAGTAGAGGAAACTATGGGGCTAGACTGTTTTTTTAAATTATGAAAAGCATTTAGACAAAGAGTTTTCTGTTCATACTGAGTGAAAAGTAACCAATTTCTAGGTTTTTTAATTAAATTAGTTGAAACCTAATGTTGAGTACATACTGTATTCTACTTCCAACGTGCAGAGTTTGAAAGCACACAGGGACATTCCCTGATGGAGCTGCTGCTCTGAGTCACTATTACATGCAGTTTATATTCATTTAGACCCAGCAAGCAAATGACAGAGAACTATGGGCCAACTTCATCACTCACGAGATGAAATGGAAGTCAGAGTAACCTCATCAGAGAGTTCTCCTTCCTAAGACCTAAATTCAGTATAAAAAGAAGAACATGTGACCTGGATTTGCAAGTATAAGCAGTAAATTGTTCTCCACAGGCTTTTGCTGTGGCATACCTTTTCCTTTTTCACCAGTCACTTCCCATAAGCAAGGAAAGCTTGAACTTCTGTGAATTAAGACTTGCTGGAACCTTGACACTCTCTGTACT